TAGATAGATAGATAGATAGATAGATAGATAGATAGATAGATAGATAGATAGATAGATAGATAGATAGATAGATAGATGGATGGATGGATGGATGGATGGATGGATGGATGGATGGATGGATAGATAGATAGGAGAGAGAGAGAGAGAGAGAGAGAGAGAGAGAGAGATCGGCCAGCCAGCAAACAAACACATGAACAAACCAGACCTTCTCTTGAATGCTTTACTCTTTCCACCCAAGTTTTTCTGCACACTGAAATTCCACCTCAGCCTGAGCCTGCCTTTTTCCCTTGCACTGTTTCCTGGTGTTTTTGTTCCTGCCTTTGAAAGGACAAGCCTGTCTTTGAATGGCAGAGTAAACAGAAGGCCAAGTGCTCTACTGGCAGGGGAACAACAGGAAACCACTAAATGGAGGGTGCAGCAAGCTCTAGATTCCTCACCAAGTATTCCCACACTAGCCCTTGGCTATGAAATTGACATCCTCTGTTCGGTCAATTGCTGCAGAGAAGCTGGTCAATAGCAGAGCCCAGACCTTGCAGATCCTGGTTTCCGCTACAAAACAAGACAAGCAGCTTGTATTAGGCAGAATGAGACTATTACTCACATGCTACCAAGCTAGCAAACAAATAGTTTCAAGGAACACACAGCTTGACTTATATCCCCTCCACCCCAACTAAGTGGCCAAGATGAGTCACCAGATCCAAGCTGCCAATGAAAGTGAAACCTTGTCTTCTGGATGTCCAGAAGTGTCATTGTTAAGCACACCAGTTGTTAAGCCTACCCCACAAACCTGCCTCGTTGACTCTCTACCATATTGAGCTCTTCCTCATCGCTCCAATATAAACCACACTGTTCCCACTCTATCTGATCTTCTGCCTTTGTGCCCAAGGACATATACATAGCGGGAAATTGCCTCATAAAAATCACACCTAAAATGTGAAGACACGGGTAAGGAGAGGTCAAAGAAAACTGGCTTAAGTCTATAGTTCCTACATTCATTCTTGAGGGCCCGAATCTGATTCAGGGGCTGTGAAGTCGTTTGCTTGATGGGTTCTCGTCTCGGGCCTGAATAAGGAGGCATCCTGGACATGTCATCCAGAATTCCCCTCTTGGGGCTGAACTGCTTTAAAATTTAGATCAAAGAATCAAAGTTTGAAACTTGTCTGGCTGCTAAAAGCTGGTGTATCGAGGAGAAAAGATGTGGCCTTCTCTTATTCCCCAGCTTCGTATCTCCTATACTGTATGTAGAGAAGCTTCTCTTTACCGATCCATTCAGAACAAGGCCATTCAACTCCTTCCCCCTTCCCAACCGACACAAGCAAATCAGATTCACTGTTGAGTGACCCATATTCTGGTATCGGCGATGGGGCAGCCACCCCCCTTCTTTGCCCTCGTAGCCATGCTGGTCTGGCTGGTGACACTACATTCGTGGGAGTGGTAAATTGGCCCCAAGGTTTCGGTCCAAGGTTTTTTAAGAGCTCTCCCCAAGCTCTGAACCCCATTTCCCCAAACTGTTTCTGCAGGCTGGATACCATCCTGTGAAATTTGAACCCAAACCCTTTTGACATTTACCTGGCCCGCAGGCCTGGAGGTGCTGGCTTCCCAGGTGGGGAAGGAATAATGAAATTTATGAAATTAATGAACAGTGGACACAACTCTTTAATATATGTCTTTACTTGAGAAGACCTGGAGAGTTGTCCCCAACTCTCCAGGTCTTCTCAAGTAAACGTTAATTCCTTGTCCCCAACTCTCCAGGTCTTCTGAAGTAAACGTTCGGCAATGCCACTTATTTCCTTCTGCATGATAGGACATGAGTGTGGACACAGGAGAAAGAGCTGTAAAACATACCTCCCCACCCGAAACAGTAACCTGGCCCAGCCAGAAAAGAGAATTGGATTGCTTTGGGATATGTTTGACCTTGGGGAGGCCGCTTTAAGGACGCCAGACACAC